TGGGAACACTTTTAATATCAACTTAATTTTGTACTTAGTCTTTTTTTTTCTTCTTTTTTTTTTTTTGGACTCCTGGAAGGAAGAAATGTGCAAACTGAATTATAAATACAAAAAACCCCCAAAAAAGATAATCCATCTAATTTTCAGACAGCCACTCTTCCTGCACTATCCATTCATTTTCATGAAATCTGGCTCTTTTGAACCGGAATCAATTTCGTCACTGCTCTGACCTTTGACCTTTCCAATAGCAAGAAATATGTAATGTTACAGGTTTGGCTTTAACCAAATCACACTGCTCAGTCTCTTTTACAGTAAGCTGTTGAAAGACTCAGTGAAATGCATTAACTGTGCTGTGCTCACATTATGAAATGATTCAGCGTGTTTGGATGTGGAGCCATTGTGTAGCCAACACACATGTATGTCATCATATTATATATATATAAAACTGACCTTTCTCAATGTCACAACATCCTGATCTGACAGGCTGTGTGTGTGTGTAAATTGCTACATAATGAGGAAAGGTTAAATGTTACCAGCTGATAATTAATGACTAAAATTGAGATAAACAGTGTAACCAGCTGTAAAATGTAAAAAATGAAATATCTTTGAAGCTAATGTAATCTAAACCCCACGATAAGAAATCAAATTTACATCCAAAGCAAAAGACTTCTGATCAAATGCAGACTAATATTAATCAATAGTTTAATTATAGCAAAGAGGTTAAATGATCTGGACTCTTTCAAACAATGAGAGGAACTTTTACATCAATTGTTGTTGTTTTTGGTGGAGTAAAAATAGCAGAACATCGTTGGATTTCCGGCTGAAGGCTGCCACCCAGTGGACAACAGAGGAATGTCACGTTTGAATCTTAAAAACTTCACATTCCTGTTAATCTGCAGCGCATGCTTGTGTGGTTAACATTTCTATCCACATAAATATTTTTTACATACAATATTTTTACATAAAAGTGAAACTAGGATGAAATGAAAGTTTTCTGGATATGATACGAGTGTAATTCACAAACATCACAATGATATTATTCTCCAAATGAAAGTGTGGGGAGCTTGTAAGTAACATATTTTATTCAGTGCAAACTCAGACTGAAGGACTATAAGTTCACTTTAAAGCTGCTTCTCTTTCTCACAGATAAAATGTCCTGATTATCACATGATCAGCAGTCGGGTTACAGGCTGAGTGCAGCAAATGCAGATGAAAGTAAAGAGCGTGGATGAGGCTTGTCAGGCAGCTGGAGGACACGTCCTCCTGTTTGTTGCACATTGGCCATGAGAGGTCGAGGTGTCAGCCTCCTTCAGACAGAGACAAATGTCGCCCCGCCTGGTTTTCTATTCAGCTGCATGTGTTGTCGGTCCATCAGAGGCTAATTAACATAGCAGGATCCCCAGTGATCCCACGCTGCTCGTTCTGTCTATACACAGCTCCTGTTACACTTTACGGCGTGCACAGCAGGACGCTTCCAACGAGATGCTGCTGTTTCAATCAGGCCCAAAGTAAACTGGACAGCATGTGAGGACTGTGTGTCTGCATCCACGCAAAGGTCATATCACCAAAATCGCTGCTTCCTGCATGTTTCCACAAAAAGCTCAAATGCAGTTAACACATGATTTTTATAAACACACACTGTCACATATCTGTGCACGCTGAAAAAAGCCTTTAATGTTCTGGAAACTGTTTCCTGTGCTGTTTAAAATTATTTCCATGATGTCATGTTGGACCTGAACTCTGTCTTCTTATGTTTGTTTTTGGGGAAATACCTGGTGCAGGAAAATCAAAGGCAGGGAGCCACGCCCACAAAGGTTCAGATGAATAAAAGTCATGAGATGACTAATGACTCTTGGTTATCACAGACTGCTTTCTTTACAGGAACATCCAAGCTGAGGCGATACTGTCTGAGGATATTGTTGCATGTATGACATTGGAGAGGGAACCCCGCTGAACATCCTCACAGAAAATCTTCAGGGAACAAAAACTAAGATTTCCTGGTTTCAGGGAATACTCTAAAAAAAGTCACAGGCCAGAAACACCTGTAATGTTTCAAAACCACTCCAGGATCCAGGAAAACTGATCGAAGATCTCAGGATTCCTGAGGTGATCATGGAATTTGTTCAAGGATCTCTGGGTTTCCTTGTAATAACCTCTGAAATTGCAAAGTGGAGCAAATCTGTCTTACAACTCCCCGAAAACATTGAGGGGGGGTTTGCAAAGCACCTAAAATTAATATGAACTTATATTTTCTTCTCAAAGCTTCTTTTAAAGCACTCGAGACTCAACAGACCCGTGAATTTTTATAAAATTCCATCAGTGCCTAAAACCCAATCAGTGATTCCCAGAGTCCTCACCTAATTGTTTGATACACCCCAACCTCTGAGCAGATAAGCGAACACCCGCGTAATGATCAAATTTCACGAAGGAAAAATATCAGAATTAATAAATAATCAATAAAAAATCAGGACTCCCTGCAAAGACCCTTTAACAAGCTACGTTTCTTAAATCAAATTAAAGGTCCCTGGAAAATCCTTACGCGGAGTTCAGCTAAAACCTTCCTTGGCCTTGGAAATTCACCAAACATCTCTTAGATTAACTCCTCAAAGCCTACAACTATTTCACGGATCCATATAATTCCTTCAAGGAACTTCAAGAGTTCAAAAAGAACCCCTCTCTGAAAAGTCATTGAAAGACCTCCGTGACGTCCACATTTCACCTGGAGGGTCCGGCTCTGCGCGGACCCGCCTGTCCGGCCCTGCGGCCCGCTCTCACGATCAAAGCATTCCCGGTGTGGAAGCAGCAGCCGCGGGTGGGCTGCTCGTAACCTCCGCAGTAAATTAAGACGGAGAAGCAAATAAAGCTGCACCTGCGGACACTTTTTGGCACTTTTTGTTGCGCCAAAAACGGATTGTCTGCCAAAAAGTGATTTCCGGTATTTGCCAAAAAC